GATTCCTGAGCGTGCAAATGTGGGTCTCTAATTTTTGTATATTGTCTTGAGCTCTTTTCCTTCTGTTTGTTCTGTTCATTTCTGATGTGTTTTTGCTTTATTATAGTATGTTATGTTATTATCCTTCATAAATCCATTTGTTTTCTAATGAGGCAGAAAGGGAGTGAGTCTGATGGGAGGGGAGGAGGGGAGGCATTGAGAGTAGTAGAGGGACGTGAGACATTCAGAATATATTATGTTAGAAGAAAATCTATTTTCAGTAAAAGAGGGGAGTAGATACAGAGCCTGCAGGATGGCTCACTGGATAAGGTGCTTAACCACCAAGCCTGACACCCAAGTGCAGTCTCTAGGACCTAAATCATGGGAAGATGGAGCCTACTTTTGCCTGTTGTTCTAGTACATGGGTGTGGCATACATGCATACAGACAGAAACAGAATAAATGAATAAGTGAAAGTAAAATAAATTAAACTTGTAGATCATGCTATTTTTTTATTATTAAAAGTCTTCCAATAAATGGGGTGCTAAGTTTTTTTTTCTCTTAGTTGCATTTATATTGATGAGAAAACTGACTCATGAGAGGAGTTGATTTGATTCAGATTTGAAATTTTATCAATTACTGTTCATGTAATCTATGAACTCTTGTAAAACTTGTATTATCTCATGAAATTCAAATGGGTGCTATGTAAACTAAAACTCAGGAGTTTATCTGTATGAACTTAATAGCATTCTTCACGTTTTTCTCAAGTGCTGCAAATTTACATAATGCTGATACAGTGATTATTATTTGATGTGAAACTTGGGCTGTTCCTCCTGCTTTAGCCTCTTGACTGCTGGCATTAGGTGTGGCTGCCAACACACCTTACTTGATATCAGGATAAACCTTGGTAAACTCTTCCACAACTCAAGCAGCCAGTGTTGGCAGAAAGTATGTGGTCATTAAACTCATTACCTTCTATTTATTTAGATAATTCTGTAAACTGATGAATTACATTTGTGTATTTATCTTAAACACTTTTCATCACTGCCTCCGTGATATATAAATGATTTCAGGTCATATATATGTGCAATTAATATACCATGGTGGAACAAATTAAAAAGGGAAACAATTGTAAGAAATCTGACATAGTACTGATAGAAATTTTCCTATCTATCTGGAAGTGAAAGATGTAAAAACAAATCTCAAAATGTTTGCACATGACTTTGACTTGTTTCATTTTGCAGTGCTGGGATCACATAAAGCAATGCACTGCTAAGCTAGAGCTCTCACCTGAGATCAATTTTTTGTTAAGGTTGCAAATAATATAATTTTGAGACACAGCACACCCAAAGTATCAGTTGGGTGTACCTCTTAGTCCACCCACCCTCCCACCCACCCTCCCACCCACCCACCCACCCACCCTCTATTGTTGTGTAACCCTGGCTGGGCTGACCTGGAACTCACTATGTAGACTAGGCTGATATCAAACTCACACGATCCAGTCTGCCTGCTTCTGCCTCCCAAGTGCTGGGATTAAAGATATATACCACTACGCCCAGCCTCAATATCTCCTACTGTTTTTAAAATAACTTTATTTTTGAAATTATACTATTATTTTCCCCATTTCCCTTTTCCCCCTCTGGCCGCTCCCATGTAGCCCCTATGTTCTCTTTCAAATTCATGACTTTTTTTTTCTTTAATTGTGACGCATATCTGCATATGTGTGTGTATTCCTAAATACATAAATGACAACTTGATAAATTTGTGTATAGTCTCAGGGCTAATCAGTTGCTTTTGGATAACCAATTGGTGCTCTAAGCCCTCTGAAAATCACCTTAATTTCTGTTGCCACCGGTTATGACTGATTTCTTCAGTTATTTATTTTTTATTAAAAAGCAAGTTTTTATGTTAAAACGCATTTTCTGAGCTGGGTGTTGGTGATACACACCTTTAATCCTAGCACTCAAGAGGCAGAGGCAGGTGGATCTCTGTGAGTTCAAGACTAGCTTGGTCTACAGAGCTAGTTCCAGGACAGGCTAAAGCAATATAGGGAACCAGTCTTGAAAAACCAAAAAAAAAAAAAAAAAAAAAAAAAAAAGCACTGAAAAATTCTTTTTTGTGTGATTTATTATCTCAAAAAATCTTTTACATAGCATTTTTTTCCATAGCAAGTTGCAATTACTATTCTTTAGTTGTGATATACCTCCTTTAAGATTTTAATTTTTCTTCTAATCTCTACTTGATTTCTCTCTCAATAGTATATTTTTATCTGAATATTAAAGTTATTCCCTGTTCTGAAAAAAAGTTAGGTAGGCCTGGCATGGTGGCCCATACATTTAATCCATCACTTGGGAGGCAGAGGCAAGCAGATCTCTTGAGTTCAAAGACCAGTCTGGTCTATACAATCAGTACCAGGATAGACAGGGTCACACAGAGAATCTCTGTTTTTGTTTTTGTTTTTGAGACTGGAACTTGCTTTGTAGACTAGGCTGGCCTCAAACTCACAGAGATCTACCTACCTTTGTCTTCCGAGTGCTGGGATTAAAGGCGTGTGCCACCACCATCCTGTAAGAATCTCTGTTTTGGGGGGAAAAAGAAAAAAACCAAAAACAAAAATACAATTTTCTCCCTATTCTTGTGTGTGTGTGTGTGTGTGTGTGTGTGTGTGTGTGTGTGTGTATGTATGTATGTATGTATGTGTGTGTGTATGCATGCATGTATATATGGTTAAACTTGCCTGTGTGGGTATCTAGAGACCAGAGGTCAGATTAGGAGTCCTCTGCTTTTTTTTTTTTTTTGAACCTGGACCTTCCTGTACCAAGGCTGGCAACTAGGAAGCCCTCAGTATTCTTTCATCTCTGTGCCCATTCCTTGTACTCCCCAGTACTGGGATCATAGCCTCATGCTACCATGCCATTTTTATGTGAATGCTGGGTATAAAATTAGGATCTCATTCTTAATTTTCATCTTGAAAATGATTATAATTGATGTTCCAGTTTGCTTATCAATCATAATTTATTTAGGTGTTCCTGTAACTGATGCTATTTGCATAACATGCTGATATAAACATACTCCATTTCTCCATTGTTTCCTAGGGATGATATTAGATTCAGCATTATTGGTGATGTTCTATGTAATCTAGAAATGATTCAGGCACCTTGCCTGTACACTGTCAAGTTTACATTCTGTGGGTAAAAGCAAAATACAGTCCTACAGACTGAAGCTGTGGCTAATAGGGGATGGTTTGACACTGCATTAGTTGTTGAATGAACACATTAATGAAACTTTCTAAAAGTCAGTTCAGTTCTGTTGGTGTTTAGCCTCATTAGCATTCCTCTACAATTTAATAATGAAAGCCGAGTGGTTCATTTAGAGAGAGGAAGCAACTTGACCTACTTGAGCCAGGCTGGCTAAGAACAGGGCAAGGTTATAAATAATTATATATATTTTAACATATAAAAAATTACTTTAACCAGTGTAATTTTATATCCTAGGCTGAATCCATGTCATACCAAACGCTATACTTTAAGAAGCAAACCATTTACTTAATTTGAAACCCTTTGTTTCTTTAAACAAAGCAGCCACCTTCAGGAAGCAGTTAAAGGGTAACTTCTCAATTACATGTGGTGGCATCTTGTGATCTGAAGGTGCTCTTAGACCCTATCTCCTAGTGAATGTTGGCAGTTGGAGTGATTTTTGTCTAAATGATATGTACTAATTTATGGAAACAAAATAAAACTCTTCAGGGAATGCTGCTTAAGGTTCACTTAGGTACCAAGTACCTGAAGCCCAAGTTTTCAAGATAAGGTCGCCTTACTCCTTAATACGTATGTTGAGAGGAGGGATAATTAAACCTTCTTCTTGTAGGCATCTTGATTCTAGGAAGAATGATAGTGCCCAGGGTGTGGAAGTTTGCTTTGGATGTTTATGGGAATGCTAGGAGTTGACCTGGAGAACTTGAAGACTGTCTTAGAGAAATCTTGATTGAAAAGTGTGGGTGGTCAGTTGTGAGGGTGTTGTTTAGTAATCTTAGAAGAGATGTTCTAGAGTCTTTAAATACGTTCACTTAAATTTTCACTGCTTTGAATAAATACATTGTATGTAATTGTTTTCTTATTTTCCCCTATCACTTCCTTTTTTTTTTAAATCAACTACTTTGATATATATGGGACACATTTTTAGATTCTTGTTACAGATGACCTAATTTTTATTAATTGTTGTGCTTTCAAACTCTTGTCTACTCAGAATGCTCTTTTCATTTTTTTTTTTTTTGGGTACTTAATAAACAAGTGGTTTTATACAAAAGCTGCATATTCAAAACAAAATTAAAAATTAGTCCTAGTCTATGAGTTTTTGTTAAAACTGACCTTCAGGAAAAAACTAAATACTAACGTACAAGTCCAAGTTTATTTTGTGTAATTCCTTATATTTATTTACTTATTGATTTGCTACCATGTAAACTATCAATTTTTAAAAATACTGTGAACTTTTTTCTCAAAGACTTATTACTGTACTGAAAGAGGCTGCCTAGGACTGGAAATCTTTCCAACTCATCATAATTCTCTTTCTATTAATTCTTTAATGTGAAGTTTAAAATTTTCTCTGCAGGTATCTCTACAGGTTAATTACCTTTTCTCTACTTTTCACTTTAGTTTCTCCTTCCCCAAACTGCCCATAAATTTGGGTTGAGAAGTATCACTGAAAGGTATGAGGCTTAATGCTACCAGGAAAAAAACAGGCACTTTTTGTTTCCCTTTCTGAATAGCTTCAGCTTATTTCAGAAGAAGCACTGAAGTGCTTTTTGAATAAGAACATGAAAAGTAGCTAGTGTTCATTGCGTATGTGGCTGTAAGAAAAGGCTCTTAAAAACATTCCATTGTGGAGTCCAAATCCTCTTTTAAGCTTAGATAGGCACAGTGGCTTGCAGAGCCTGTGACTGCTGGCAGTAGCCAGGCATCCCAGTGCTGGCTGGTGTGCTTTCCTCAAACTCTTCACATACATTGATTAGTATTTTCTTTGCAGTTACCGTTGTGATGATTTTGTGGTCAATGATACCAAGCTGGGCCTGGTGCAGAAAGTGAGAGAGCACTTACAGAACTTGGAAAAGTGAGTAGTGGGTCCTGAAAGGGGAGGGGCTGCTCGGTCACTGGTTTTGAGAGCTTTGTATCCAGCATGATTTAAATGCAGTTGAAATGTTGATAAACAAAGCCTTGGATTTAGATACCTGAAACCCAGCCCATATTTCATTCAGTACTTTCCGTAAACCATATTCAAAGTCCAAGAGCCTGTTTTTAAATTACTACTCACTAAGTTAAAAACTCTTCAGTTCACTCATAAGGAAGAACTTAGTGGTTGTAAGGAAGCATCATAAAAGGACATTAAAATAATTGTACAACTATTTGCCATTAAAAGTTTATTGCTAAATGTATTGAAGATCTGCTTTGAAAGACAGATTTCTGTGTTATTTTAAGAGAAGTTAGGTTCAAGTGTCTGAGTGCACTTTGCAAATAAACCACAGCTAGAACCTCAGTTTTTTTTCTTCTTTTTCTTGTGGAAAAGTACATAGAGCTTGAATTACAAAGAGTTTTGTGACCCTAAAGAAACTGAAGAGTTTGTCTTGTTGTAGCCAAATTGCTTATTCAGATAAAACTCCCTGGACCCAGAACTGAAATGATAAATAGAAACCCACATGCCTTTGAAGCTGCATGTCAAGTGAAATCTGTGTAGCTCATCACAGATCACCCACATTGTCAGGTCCATCTGATTTATCTTGGCAACTGGCCTATTGAAAGTATTGTAAAAACATGCCACCTAGAGTGTTTCTTGATGTCATAAGTGTAAACTAGTAGAATATTTCAAAATAATGGATGGAGAGGAAAAAAAATCTTCTGTTCCAACACTATATGGTGTTTTTATTAAGTGAAGGTTTTTTTTTTTTTTTTTTTTTTTTTTTTTTGGGGGGGGGTATCTCTCACTGCCTGAATAGATTATAAAGCTGAAAGGGAAGAATCAGAATAGTTAACATTTGGGTCTAGGTACTTGTGTCATCTTTTGACTACTTACTTTTTCAAAGTGTATTTAGTTCTTTCATTGGAAGTGAGCAGCATCTATGTATGACTAGAGACAGGTCCTGAAAATCCTCCAAATCACTGAGAAACTGATTTCCAATTTTAATTAAGTTTAAATAGTTACATACAATGAAGAGTCATCAGTCATTCTGTTAGATAGTGTAGGTCTAGAGCAGTGGTTCTCAACCTTCCTGATGCTGTGCCTTTTAATGACAGTTCCTTACGTTGTGGTGCTCCCAACTGTAAAATTATTTTTATTGCTACTTCATAATTGTAATTTTGAATAGTAATGTAAATAGCTGATCTATGACCCCTGTGAAGGGATTGTTTAACCTCCAAAGGGATTGTGACCCACAGATTGAGAACCACTGGTCTAGAGCGTTGTATTTTGAGAATGACAGGATAAAATTTAACTTGTATTTTGAAAAGCCAAATGCTGTATTTAGGTATTAGTCATGTTTACTAAATAGCATGGACAATTTTTTGTGTGTGACTTCATTTCCAGAACTAGTAAAAGAATAGTTGAATGCTGGAATTAGTCCCTGTATCTTGTCACCAGAGGTCACAAGTGGCTGGAAGCAATTGATATTAGGACCTGTGTTCCAAAGACACTGTAGTTCATGTGGAAGTTATAGAAAGAAAAATAAGTCTGTGTGTGGTAATTTCAAAGTATAGAAAAGAGTTGGCAGAGTTACAGTCTGTACTATTCAGTGATAATTTTTATTTTCTTTAGATTAGTTCTCCTGTTAGTAACTTTAAGGAGATATTTATAGGATGGGAGTAACCCTGATGAATTAAGTGAAGATTTTTGTAATGTAGTAAGGAATTATTTTGAAATGCCCTTTGCAGTATAACTAAATTGAGTTTATATATACACCTATATCCCTATGCTAGCTCATTCCTCATAGACTAAAGTGGACTGAATGAAGGCAGTCCACTCCAGATTAAGGAAAAAAAAAAAAAAAAAAAAAAAAACCCAGAATATTATTTGAGACTAGCTGTTAAATTTCCTATCAGTCATGTAAGACCAGGGTTTTTCTTTTGTCATGAGGAACAGATCTGGGTTTGGAAGCTTCACAATCTCTTAGGTAGACAGAGTGGTGGTGGGGCAGGTTTATCTTAAATACCACAACTCCTGACCAGCTTTGTTGGGAGTAACATAGTCTATTCTCCCCTGCTGTGGAGGGGTGGTCTGGATTTCCAGGGAAGTGAAAAGCCTCAGCTCACTCCAGATACTAGGGGCCTGGCTGGTTACTTGATGGCCTCATGAAGCAACCAGGCAGGACTCTGCCTTTGATGCTGAGGACAGCTTGGGTTTATCCTTTAGCTTGCTGTGTAGCATGTATTCATTAATGTCTTTTTAACTGTTTGTTTATATCTTAATAGCTCAGCTTTTACAGCTGACAGGCATAGAAAAAGAAAATTATTGGAAAACTCATCACTAAACAGCAAGTTATTAAAAGTAAATGTAAGTAATTAAAATTTATTCCCATGTAAGAGTTAAGATAAGACTGTTTGTTACAGCTTTAACAAGAGCTCTTATAAACTTTTATTAATGTGTCTTGATTTGAAGTGTTTTTCAAAAATGTTTGCCACTTATAACCACCCCTCCCTCCCACTTTGGAGGTAGTCTATGTAGCCATGGTTATCCTAGAAAATTCTGTGTAGACAACACTGGCCTCAGACTCTAAGATCTGCTCGCCTCTGCCTCCCTAGTGTTGGGATTAAAGGCATATACTACCCTGCAAGCAGTTCACTGTTTCTTTGTGGGGTTTTTGTTTGTTTTATTGTTGTTTGAGACAGGTTCTCACTATATAGTCCTGGCCAGAAGAAAGTTTGTTTGCTTTACACTTCTACATCACACTTGATCATCAAAGGAAGTCAGAACAGGAACTCAACCAGGGCAGGAACTGATGCAGAGGCCATGGAGGAATGCTGCTTACTGGCTTGCTCTCCCTGGCTTGGTCAGCCTGCTCTCTTACAGAACTCAGGTCTACCTGCCCTGGGCCTTTCCCATCAATCACCAATTAAGAAAATGCCCTATATAACCAGGTCTTCTGAAGGCATTTTCTTGAGGTTCCCTCTTCTCTGATGACTCCAGCTTGTGTCAAGTTGACATAAAAACCTATCAAGTGTAGTTTCCTAGATTCTATTGGTCTGAACTTTTGGTAGGTTTTTGCTTGTTTTTTGTCTTAGGGCTTCATTAATGTAATTTCACCATGGAAGTATCTTCCTCATTTTGGAAGCCACTCATGAATTAACAGGTTTAAAGTTACTATATATATTTAAATGATCAAGCAGCATTTTTGCCATATATTTAACCCTTTGTTGTCACTGGACCTATGCTTAAAGTTTTAAAAAAATTGTTATAAAAATTTTAAAAAGGGAGCACATGTCTTTTATCCCAGCATTTGGGAGGCAGAGCTGGAGGACATCAGTGAGTTCGAGGCCAGGCTGGTCTACAAAGCGAGTTCTAGGACAGCCAGGATTGTTACATAGAGAAACCATGTCTTGAAAAACTGAAGGGGAGAAAAAGGTGCATGAGAGAGAGATGCCATGCAACAGAGCGTGGGTGGAGGGGTTTTTATTAGGGGAGGGAGGGAAGGAGGGAGGGAGGTGGGCAGGGCTGAGGACATATCCTGTCAGAACCCCAAGGACAGGTCAGTACAGATGCCTGAATACTAACAGAAAATAGCTAAGGTGTTGTCTTAGCTGTCTGAATTACAGGCAGAGATGTTGGGTTAGACTGGAGGATTTACTTCCTGGTGCAGTATTCAGATATCTTCAGAAAATCAAGCCTCCATCTTTAAGAAGTTCAGATAGTGTTTTGTGGTTCATGCCCATTGCTAGGAAAATACCTGTCACTTGAGTATGCTTTTCAGTTAAAAGTTGGGGTTTGTGATTTTTATTTATATTTTTAGTATAATCTTGTAAATGTATTAACTTAAAATGTATTTCCCTGTTTGCTTGCATCTTTGATACTTGTTGATGCTTATTTTCTCAGAAACAGATACTAAAATATCTATGTCCTCATAATAATAGTCACTGGGCAGAAAAGGGAGAGGGGTATTTCCAGATAGGCATGGTGCTGGAGTTTCAGAGACCTTGGCTTAGTGTTGGAGTTTGGAACAGTGAGCCATTCCTTGGTAATGCTGATGGCCTCTTCCATGTTACAGGGAAGTACGACTGCCATTTGTGCTACAGGCCTTCGGAATTTGGGCAACACGTGTTTCATGAATGCTATCCTTCAGTCACTCAGGTAATGAATGCTACAGTCAGAGGTTTACATATTTGACATTACAGACCAAGAGCAAGGCTCAGTGTTCAGAGACTGTTTTCTGCCTTTTTTTCTCATCAGTAAAATTGAGGAATTGCTTCTTCCTACTTCATATAATAGGAGGGCAGATTAAATAACATAATCTGTCTAAATTCCTTCAAGCTTTTTTTTTTTTTTTTTTTTTTGGTTGGAAAATCATGGTTAGCTTTTATTTCCCTTTTCTTCTTGAATGGCTGCAGGAGAGACCAGGATACCTGTTTGAAAGATGGGATAGTAACTATTTTAGGTCATATGCATGTTTCTTTCCCATTTTATTATCCCCCTCAAATATTTTTTAGCTTTTAAACATGTAAAACTCAAGGCAGGTGTTAATAGTAGATGCTACTCAGAAAGCTAAGGTACGGAAATTGCCAATTTGAGCCTGGACAACATAGCCAAACCCCAGTTAGAGAAGGGAAAAAAAAAAAAAAAAAAAACAAGCTAAAAACAAACTTTGTTGTAAATGTAAAGTTCCCTGTCTAAGGGCTATATCTGGCCCATAGGATTTGGTTTGTAGACCCCTTGGGAACCTAGTTCAGAGCTTATTTCAGCCACTAGCTAAGTCTCCATCATAGTCATGAGAACATCACAGAGTAAGAGAGTGATAGAAAGAAAGTGGCCAATAGGGCTAACCTCAGTAGAAGAAACTGTCTGAACGTTTTATGCTTTTATACTGTAATGAGGTATTAAAGTCACTTATCTTCTCAGTCACTCTTTGTCTGGAATCTGCCTTTGAGGTTTTGGTTATCCCATTCACCGTCTCTTCCTCAAAGAAGTCTAGTTACTTCTGATTTGTCCTGTGATTCTATATAGCACATCTAAATAATGTGTTTGGTTTCATGGTTTGTTTTATTTGAGGAAATTATTTTACTGAGTACCTGGAAGCAATCACCCTAAAAAGAAGTAGAAGATGGAGTATAGCTCAGTTGATAGGGAGCTCCCCAAGTACACATCAAGCTGTGGCGGAATCCCTAGTACCTGAGCTGGGTGTGCTGTACATGCCTGTAACCTTAGCACTTGCGAAGTAAGGCAGGGTGATTAGAAGTCTGAGGTCACTCTTGGCCACCACATAGGAAGTTCAAGGCAAGAGCAGAGAGATATGGAAGGAAGGAGCCATGGACAGAATAACCCATGGTGGAGGGGAAATGGGATTTTTAAAGGGAGGTGTCTTTTAAGTCATTTGTTCATCCCCACAAAGTTGTATATCTGCCGAGGGAATAGCAATGACATGGGACTGCACTGAGTACTATGTAACGAGGCAACTGAAAGATTACCTTTTGAAGAACCTTTCTTTTTTGTTTTTAAACCATCTTTAAAATTCTTTTCTTTAAAAAATAATTTTCTTCACTTCCTTTTAAAATAGTAACATTGAGCAGTTTTGCTGTTATTTCAAAGAACTGCCTGCTGTGGAGTTAAGGAATGGAAAGACGGCAGGAAGGCGAACATACCACACCAGGAGCCAAGGGGATAACAATGTGTGAGTTACCAGAAATGTCCTTTCTGGCACTGAGCTGCAAACAAATGAGTTTCTCTGGTGATTTTTAGATTATCTGAGCTAATACATAGATTTTATAAAGCTCTTCTAATATTGTTAGTCTAGCTCATAATCTTGGTTTTTTTTTTTTTTTCCCCTTCAATTTCTGCTTATAATGGGAAGGATAGGTAGCAATGCATGTAAGTCTTTGTGTATGCACAGACCTCCAGGTATGAACATCAATGAGTATCTCTAGTTCATGTTAATTTATTGATCTGTTATTGGCAGTGTTAGGCAAGCCTGTTTGAGATAATAAAATTAATACTCAATTGGAGTTAACATGGAGGGGTTAAAAACAGAAGTGGTTGTCAAGGACAATTTCACATTCAGACTCACTGCAGCTTTGCCTGTCTTTTGGTTCAGAAGATCTGCTATGTTTGACTAATAGACTAACGCATCTTTTCCATACCCTTACTGAAGAGGAGATAATGATATACTTGTATGCATGTAATGTTTTTCCTGCCTGTCTGGTTTACTCCCATACATACTCATATTGAAAGGCCATTTTATGAGGCACTGCTCTGCCTCAATGTGAGGTGGGGGAGGGAGGAGAGAGAGAGAGAGAGAGAGAGAGAGAGAGAGAGAGAGAGGAGAGAGAGAGAATGTTAGAATATTGGGTATTGCAGGTAGAGCCCCATCATGGAGAAGGAAGGGGCCATATGGTGTGTGAAGGGAGTTTCCTTTGGTTGCAGCATATGAGATGAATAGGAAAGTGCCTGAATTTAAGGGGGCTCCCATTGTGTCAAAGGAAACAGCAGGGAAATAAAAAGGAAAATACATGTGTGCAAAAGTTAAGAGAAACACTAACAATACTTGGTGTATCGATGTTATTTAGAATTTGGTTACAGACTACAGAAATTGCCTCTGGCTGTTTAAGCCAAAAAGAGAATTTACTGAAGAACTGTTGGTGAGTCTGCATTACTGGATGTGTTGAAAATCAGGTCCAGAACTAGCACCACAGCCACACACAGAACTGCCCTCTAAGGACACTGCCACATCTGCTGGAGACAGTGCAGCTGTTGCTCCTGCCCCTGGACTTGGGGTGGAGCTTGTTACCTCTGCCACCTCCAAAGAGGATTTGGTGCTGTTCCTGCTTTTTTGTGTCACCTAACTCCTGCTTCAAATGTTCAGAACCCAGGCCATGCACTTTGCTCCAGCTGCAAGGAAGGCTAAGAGGGCACCTTACAGCTGTTCCAGTATCTGTTGGGAGGTAGGCTAGTGTACATGGTTTGCTGTCAGAGACAACCTTCCAACAAGTATCCAAGAGTGGTTGGTTATATTGCTAAATCTAGTAACTGAATTCAAAGTGTTATCAGTGTATCAGTTTAGCACAGAGCAATCAAAATTAACTGTAACTTAAATATTCATGGTTTTATTTTCTCATATGAATTGAAGAGATTATTTATAGAGAACTATTTTTGCAAAGTCGTTAGGCTCCTTCTTGCTCAGGGGAGTGGCTTTTGTCCACATAATCCCAGATATTGGGGAGCTCCCATTACTAATGTGTGCTAGCTATGGGAAATTAGAAGGGGTTGCTAAGGACTACTTTTTGTTCCTGAGAAAATTCCCCTAGAAGTGGCATACCCCTGGGTTTTTATTCTAGGAGTTGATATGATTGATAAAAATGGGGTCTGCCCTGTGAAGGAAGTACATACAGGGCAGTTGTTGGGGAAAAGAGCCGGGAGAGCACAGAGCAGTGGAGAAGCTTTGCACAGTGACTCAAGTGGCCAAGAAGATACCCAGTAGGAAGTTCCTGTCAGAAATGGGGAAAAAAACTTACATAAAAGCAGTCATGAAGGCTGGACATGGTGGGCACATCTTTAATCCCAGTAGAAGCAGAGGAGTTTGAGTCTGAGGTCAGTCTTGACTACATAGCAAGTCCAAGATAGCCTGGAGTACATAGTGAGATCCTGACACAAACACCAAAACCTGTCAAGCCAAAGTCTTCTAGACTTGGGTTTAAGGGTCAGTGTTGGAGGTAAGCCCTAAGCCTCATGATCATGTGCTGTTTGAGGCAGAGATGAATAGGTTCAATCTAGAAGAGCCCTTTAAGGGAAGATGGAAACATGCAGGAGATGGGGAGGGACATTCTGTTGCTTGTTTACATTGTTTTATTTTTTACATACCAATCCCAGTCCCCCCTCCCTCCTCTCCTCCTGCTCCCCCCACTACTTCCCTCCTATCTGCTCCATGGAAAGGGTAAGACCTCCCCTAGGAAGTCTGCTAAGTCTGTCTCATCATCTTGTTGAGGCCGGACTAAGGTACCTCTCCATCCCCCACACCCCTGTGTCTAGACTGGGCATGGTATCTCTCCATATAGAATGGGCTCCACTAAGTCAGTTTGTGTGCATTAGTGTTAGATCTTGGACCCACTGCCAGTGGCCTCATATATAGTCCCAGTTACACCATTGTCACCTATATTCAGTATTGTTTACATTTTTTAAGTGAACATGTTTAAGTAATTTGCTTGTAAATTATCCATTGCTTTACTGTGTGTATGTTTCCTTTAAATTCAATGAACAAAATGATAGTCCCTTAACATGCTCAAAGTTAACTATATAGTTAAAACTAGTTTTGTTAGTATGCTATTCATATGGGTTGTTTTTAGTTTTTTGAGACAGGGTTTCTCTGTATTGTTTTGGAGCCTGTCCTGGAACTCACTCTGTAGACTAGGCTGGCCTCTGCCTCCCCAGTGCTGGGATTAAAGGCATGTGCCACCACCAATGCCTGGCTTTTCATATGGGGTTTTAAATGCTCTTACATAGCTATTAGGCTGAGTTCAGAAGCCCTTGAAAATGTTCATTTTTATTGTATTTTAGACAGTTGAGCCATATGTGTTTAAATAATGGCCTTTGATGGATACTATCCCTCCCTCTTTTCCAGGTCTCTGGTAGAAGAGTTTAGGAAGACACTGTGTGCTTTATGGCAAGGCAGCCAGACTGCATTTAGTCCCGAGTCCTTGTTCTATGTTGTCTGGAAGATCATGCCTAACTTCAGGTAAGCACTGAAGGGTGCTGAAGACATCTGAGTTCTTTCTGTTCTTTTTCAGCTTCTTACAAAACTGCTGCTACTACGGGTGCTCTAAGTAGTGCTTTTATTAGATGAGCAGACAGCACTGAGTAAACACTGGTTTATTTAAAGTGTTCTGTAAGTAGCCCACGTATGCTAGGAAAATGTAACGGGTAACAAACGTTCCTTGATTCTTTCAGATCTTTTTTTTTTTTTTTAATGTTCATTGTTTTGCCTGCATATGTGTCTGTGTGAGGGTGTCAAAAGCCCTGGGACTGGAGTTACAGACAGTTGTGAGCTGCCATATTGGTTCTGGGAATTGAAACTGGGCTCTTTGGAAGAGAAGCCATGCTCTTAACCACTGAGCCATCTCTCCAACCCTGATTCTTTGAAGTCTTGCAGAGAAATAATTGCCATCATGTACTTCCTTATTATTCCAACTCAATGAAGTGAGGGCTGGGGTTCTGTTTTGGTAGAGCACTAGGTTTGAGGCCACAAGTTCAATCTGTAATACCACCACACAAAGAAATGAAACCAGTAGAAACCCACTGTGTCAGGCACTAGAACGATTAATCCAGGTTGACTTGGAGTCACACTTTGGGAGATAGTAGGGCTAATCCTATTTAGTCACCTGTCCTTTCTCTTTGGTAGCTTGTCCTACCTGTGAGAATTTGGGTTATTACAGATGTATGTTATGCCAGTGTTTGCAACATTTGGCTGACTTTATTCTTTTATTGAAGCAAGCAAGTTATAGCTCTTAGAAGCCATGATTTGGCACCTTGCATATATCCTGTGTTTAAAAACTACTCATTGTAGTGAAGCTTAATGATATATCTTGTACCTTTTAGTATAGAGAAATGTTTAAAAGGTAAAGAATCAAAGTCCTGTCATTTACTGCTTACCAAATGAGTTTAGCCTCTGAGTATTTGACTTAATGGCTGTTAACCCTGGTCTTTAAGTCTCCTTTCAGAAGAGATTTCTAAGAAATTTCGAAGAGTCTAAGTAGGAAAAGCAGAGATGACGACTCAGATGCCACACCTCAGGCTTGAGCTGTACATTGCATTGTATAGTTCCCGTGTATTGAATATTTACTATGTGGCAAGCCTTGGGTACTTTATCCGTACTAAAATCCTTACTAAAAACCAAGCAGTGAAGCATTTTGGCCAAGGCAGGATGTGTTACCCTTAAGTTTAAAGACGTCAAAACAGAGAAGCAATTTGTTCATTCTTACACATCTACTTGGTGCTCTGACCAGAATTAGGACCCAAGTGTTTAGAAGATGCTGCATAGCAGATGTGGCCAGAGTGAAGTGTGTGTCGTTTCCTTGTTCCTTCCATCTTGAATGTTTGACACACCCCAGAATTTGATGCAGTGCAATCTGCTTTTCTCCAAATATGACCTCATTTCTGCCCTTCTGGTTCCTATAGCCCAACTGTCAGCATGACTTAGTTTAACTGCTGAATTTACTGATTTAGTATTTCTACTGGTAAATGAAAGAACGACAGAAGAGTTAACCAGTTTGAGAAATTTACTCAGTCTCTGGGGTGACTTCTGGTATACATGAATTCTGATGTCTCCTTAGTTACTGTTGAGCATCAGCTGGGCTTTCTTCTAGTTCTGCAGTAATTGAGATTGTTCCCAGTTTTTGTGTACTCAATGATATAGGTCTTGATTATTACCACACAGCACCGAGGGAGTTGTAAGCCCAGAGGTGGGGGCTGTCATGTGAATCTGTGTCGCTGAGCACTGTGGGGAGGGCTTTCTTCTCAGGGTTCTTGTGAATAGGTACGATGAGTGTTAAACTATGGTCATATGGAAGGAAGCATAGTGAGTCTTGAATTATGCTCCCATTGTGTTTGTTTATAATCCAAGACTATTTTCCTGTTTGTAAAGCCTGTCTTCAGGACAAGGTCTAGGGAAACTGACTCCTGGAATGGAATTTGAGGGTTCTGAAACACAAACATACATGTAGAAGTAGTAGCATCTTTCATTTACAAAGTGAGTGTGGGCAAAAACCATGAATGCAGCCAGCAGCCTTTGTGTACACATCAAGGCAACTTTCCCCTACCAGAACCAAAAGCCAGTTGTTACCTAGCAGGGAAATGTTTCTTCACATTCCACTGTGCATATCCTCTCATTATATGTATTGCTTTCTACTGAGCTCAGCCTTGTCCATCAGTTTTTTTTTTTTTTTTTTTTTTTTTTGTTTTTGTTTTTGTTTTAAAGAAAGATACATTCAGGTTTATTTTAACAGGCAAAACACGCATGGTTAAAAAATGTAAAAGATTAAGATTAGAATGGGAACTGTTTTCTTTCACTTCAGTTCCTTGCTACTCTTCTGTTTTCTGGTAGCAATCATTTACCTGATCTCCAGATGTGCTTTCAGTGATAATCTTTGTACATGTTCAAGTGTACTTAACTTTAAAAAATAAGTATTATATGCTTAGCCCCTTTTCCTGTAGCTTTGTTGATTTGTTTCTAGGCATGTGCATATGAGTGGCGGAGATGAAAAGCCTATATACATGTGTGTAGTTATCTGAATGTGGACTTGCTGGGTCAGTGTTTATGCTCCTGTAATTTAGGTGGTCTTTCATGGTAGGCAGCCTCTGTTAGTTCCCACCAGCATGAGTTTGCCCTGTGGTTCCAAACCCTTTCTTTAGGATCCAGCTTATTGATTTCATGGAAGCCTCTTTAGAAATTAAATCAGATCATGTGGTATTCATCTGCATCTCATATTTACTTTCCATTTCTGCTTCCATGTACAACCTGATTGCCTCAACTTCCTAAACAATTCAGTTCTTGTATAGCTCATGTAAGAAATGGGAGAATGATTTCACATTATATGTAGTGGTTCTTGGCTTTCTAGACAATATAAAGGATCTTATGGGATGTCTGTGAAGGAGACTTTAAAATACTGCATGTTATTTTAGTGGCATTAGTTCTTCTAATAGGAAGTGTGCTGCCAAATGCTTCTGCATTTGTTGGTAAACACATTCATATCTGTCATTTTCATGTTTCATGTTTTATATGACAGTACCAAACACTGGGCAAAAAAGAGCTCAATATATTTCAGTTTTTCATATGTTTTGGCCAAAGGGGTAACTTATAATTCTTTTATGAATGTTGGAATATTTTAAATATAAGTAGAACTTAAAATTCTACTAGGTAGGCAAACAGCACAATAGTAAGTCATTCAGTCAAGAGAAGAGCTAGTAATGGGACAGGTGTGATGACACATGTCTTCAATACTCAATATCATAGGAGGACTGCACATTTGAGGTGGGCTACACACACAGTAAGACTTTGTTCAATCCTCCATCTCCAAAGAGAAAGAAAACTCTTAGTATGTCTTAGATACTTTCAAAGGCTGTTTATCCTAGACTGGTAGACTTTTTGGAGGCATGTCTTACATGGCTTACTCTTTTTTTTTTTCTTTTTCTGGACAGGGTTTCTCTATGTAGCCCTGGTTGTCCTGGAACTCACTCCGTGGACCAGCCTGGCCTCAGACTCAGAGATCTACTGTCTCTGCCTCCTGAGTGCTGGGATTAAAGATGTGTGCCACTACACCTGGCTACTTACTCCTGTTTTCACGTGTAGTATTAGGGATTGGACCCAGGGCCTTGGACCCAGGGCCTTGCACATAGTAGGCAAGTGCTCTGCTACTGAGCTATCCTCAATCATTTTTAGTTTCAGACAGGGTCTTAATAGGTTGCCCAGGCTGGCCTAAACTTCATGATTCTCCTGCCTCAGTCTCCTGAGTAGCTGTGGAGGGTACAGGCCCCACTTGTGTAAAATTATTTTGTTTTTCCTTTGAGGTGAGGTCATACTCTGTTGTCTAGGCAGATCTGGACTTGGTGATCCTCCTGCCTCTGCCACCACTACACCCAACCTGTCTGCTTTTATGCTCTGACTCCTCATTGGTCTTAGCCATCTTGTAAATTACTCTTTGTTTAGGCATAGTAACACATTATTCAGAGTGTTTGCTTTCACGCTTGACCAGGTGCCCCATAGATGACCATTTGTCTGGTTATTGTTCATCAGAACAGTGATTTGCCTTTAAGATGTGTGTCTTCATGTGCTACAAGTTGTTGTGAAGAGGCTGTGCCCCTTTGTCCCCTGTAGTGTGCTCCATCATTATGTCTCTTTCTTGGCCTTCCATTAGAAAGGGCACTTCCAGGTCCTTTAGGCACCGTGTATTTGCAGTCTGATTTCTCACATCATCATTTCAACATATTTTCTGTTAGTCTTTCTGTAGGCATCAAATAAGAGGGTAATCTTAGCTCTAACTCCATTACTACCGAAATCTCTTAATTCTGGTATGCCACAGAGATTGCATTTGGGTCTTCACAACCTGTTTCTTCACTAGTTCACAATTACTGGTGACACCTCTGAAACATAAATCATGCATGTCATTTATCCTGATTACAAAGCAAGAGAAGTCTAAGGTAGCTAAAGAGGATTCTGAAACTAGATTGTATAACTGGGAAATAACTGAAGAAAAAAAAGATACTAAATAATACCTAACAGATTCACTGACTTCTCTGAAAGTCTTCAAAATAAAGTTAATTATATAGACGGCTAGAGAGATGGCTGATTAAGAACACTTGTTCTTGCAGAGGATCTGACTTTGATTCCCAGTACCTACATGATGGCTCAAACGGCTGGTAAATTCAGTTCCAGAGGATCCATCAACCGCTTCTGGCTTCCATGGCCACCAGACATTCATTTGGTTCACATACATGCATGTGACTATTCATATATACAGAATAAAATTAATCTTTTTATTTTGTATTTCTCTGAGACAGGGTCTCTCTATATATCCCTGGCTATCCTAGAACTAGATCTGTAGACCAGGCTAAGCCTTGAACTCAAGAGATCAGCTTGCCTTTGCCTCCTGAGTGCTGGAATTGAGGTGTGCACCATCACAGCCCAGCCGTATTTCTTCTTTACCTTTTCTTTTTCTGGCTTATTTGAGAACAGGGTGTCACTATGTGGCCATGGCTGTTGTTGAATTCACTATGTAGAATAAGCTGGTCTTCCTGCATATGCCTCCCAGGTGCTGGAATTTATCTATATATTTCTTAAGGGATATACTATAAATGCATTTTAAAATTCAGTATCAGAATAAAAAGCAGTGGCTTTGGTTTCACTAAAATTCAAATTTTTAAGCAAACTCTCAACTTTATAGAACAGTTTGTGAGCTCAGGTAAGTTGAGGACAATATTAGAGAAACAGTGTAAATGGGAAATTCCTTAACATGTATCAGGCATTTTTTTTAAAAAAAGAGATAAGTATGTGTTCACCTGATGAAAATAGAAATTTTGTAGACTTTTAAATAACTGATCTTAACCTTTGAGTCATGAAAATAAGTACATGTTATATTGAACTGGTTTAAAGCCCTTCCTTTGTATGTAAATGAACTACCAACTTTTAATACTTATGAACTATACACTTGGATAGTTTGTTTTGCTTTTTGAAACAGGGTTTCTGTATAGCCCTTGCTATCCTGGAACTGCAAACCAGGCTACCTTTGACCTTAGACCTTTCTGCTTATGCCTCCAGAGTGCTGGGGTCCAAAATGTGAGCCACCACTGCCCAGCTGTACTTTTGTTTTATTCATACTAAGTATTTGAACATATATTGCTTGTTGCTAATTTTGTGTTTTATATTTAAGACAAGCTGTAGTAACTAAAGTGACTTCTGAGTTTTAAGTTCCATTAGTTAGGGAAACTGCCCATAATTTGTAATTTCTAGGAAAGGGCAAACATATATATTAAGGGAAACTATGCCTGAAAGGGAATTTGTCTGAAAGAGTGACTCTTCAAAGACACCAGAACAATTTTCTATTTAATGAGAACCTTAATTGTGAAAGGTGTATAGGACACTTTTCTGTCATAATTTTAGACTACATTTTAAATATCATTGTTTCTTTTCATTGTTGTTCACTAGTCATTGATCTGGATTAATGTAAGAATCCTATGAAGTCTCCTCTCCCAAATATAATGTAAGAAGTAAAATTTTACTATGTTGCATTTGCTGGGTGGTGGTAGCACATGCTTTTAATCCCAGCACTTAGGAGGCAGAGGTAGGTGGATCTCTGTGAGTTTATGGCCAGTCTGGTCTACAGAGCTAGCTCCAGCACAGCCAGGTCTATTAAACAGAAAAATGTTGTCTCGCAACCCCCCCCCCCAAAAAAGATGTTGCTGTATATGTATTTAAGTTTAGAGTGGTGCATAATTGTATATGAGTAAAGTAAATGGCATTTTAAAAAGAATGTATCCATCTAGTCCAAAAGATGGAAGTACAGAATATTAGATATCTTTAACATATGTGTGCGCACACACTTATGGTGTTCATGGGTTGCATCTGGTCTTTGTTTGTTTGTTGGTTGAGACACGGTTTCTCTGTAGTCCTTGCTGTCCATTGTCCTGGAACTTGCTCTGTAGATATCCGAGTAGCCTCTCCTCCTGAGTACTAGAATTAAAGGCATGTGCCACCATCACCCAGCTCAGTCTTTTTTTTAAATAGATAACTAATTTTTAAAATTAGTTACAAAATTTAAACTTTTTTTTTTTTTTAACAATTAATTAACTTCCTTGGCTTTTCTGTTTGAGATGAGATGGTTTACTAAATTAGGAGCTTGCTGATTGAGCTGGCCAGGGGAGCCCTTGGGGTATGTTTTTTTGTCTGTTTTAGTCTCCCTCACCCTCCCATCAGTGCTGGGATGACAGGTATGTGTTGTGTGGTGCTGTGCCCAGCTGTTGCACATGGCTTCTGTGGACTATACTCAGGTCCTCATGTTTGCAGAGATTGACTGAGCTATCTCCTTACCAGGCCCAGATAAATTTAATTCTTAGATTGAAGAATAACTTTTTAAATATACATACTTGTTCTAAATTTCTTATTTCTTTTAGCGAAACTTAGACATGGTTTTCAGGTTAGGTTAAGTTAAACATTTAGGTCCTTTCTAGAGAGGGCCCATGGGAGGATGGGAAATTTCAGAGTCCATTTAAAAGGTGTGAATTTGTATGCTGTCTCTTAAGACTCTCTTGTAGGACTGTAGGTAAGTCACACGGCACTCACTCCCTTAATTTGTCCCTTAATTTATTTCTGAAATGAAGAAGTCAGTGAAAAATCACTACAAATCCAATTAACTCTAATGTTTCATGGTTTTGAAATTAATAGATATACTGTGTTATGAGCAGAGGATGGGAATTGGAGGCATGCTTGTGAGCATAGGGCTGCAGTCCTCATGATGTTTGCTGGGCAGGGAGAGCCTCCCCACACACTGTTTTTGTTTACTTCAAGGGGTTATCAGCAGCAAGACGCCCATGAATTCATGCGATACCTTTTGGATCACCTACACTTGGAACTTCAGGGTGGCTTCAATGGTGTTCCCCGATCAGCAATTCTACAGGAGAATTCTACTCTGTCTGCAAATAACAAATGCTGCATGTAAGACTTAACTTACTTTTGATTTCAGACCCTCAGAAATGTCTGCTGATGGGTGTGGGTATGTGTGCCATGTGCTTTTTACATTTTCATTTAAATAATCATTTACATTTAGATCTTGGTGTGGTTCTCATTATTTTTGGTGAGATTTAATTAGCATTTAAAATATTTCTACCAGATATACTGAATAATGTATACATGTAATAGTACTGAGAGCAGGGACCCAAATCTGTAAGCCCAGAATATTGGATTGAGAGAAAGGATAATTATTATGAATCTAATTCTAGGCTGAGCCAGTAGTGAGATCCTGTCTTGTGCACACACAGTAGCAACATGTTTGCTAAAATCATTTCTCCTTTAGTGAAACAGAAATTTGTAAGTTTTCAGAATTTTTCTTGTCCCTTACCATAAACAAAACCTTTTGTCTTGTTTCCTTTATATTAGTAGCCTGAACCATACCCTGATATTAGAATAGCTATTTTGCTGAGAAGGAAAATATTATTTCAGTCTGGATTCTAGTCATTTGTGTGCTTTTAAAGTTGGCTTTACTCTAGCCCTGACTAGTCTGGAACTTACAGTGTGTGCCTGCTTCCTGAGTCCTGTACTGTGTTTAGCCTTTTCCAGTCATCAGTATTCTCTCTGTAGGATTCTTTATGTAGGAGAGGGATTTATAAGACACCTTCCCAACAGAAAGAAATGAGTGGAGTTTACTAGTACTTTCTGGTAGTTGGCACTAACCTTCAAATTCTCCAGTGTCACAGAAGAGCAACTGGTATGGATTGCCAGGTTCCTCCTGGACCCTGAAGTTCTTGTCAGAGCACACTGTAGTAGAAAGGGAAGACTTAAAATCCAGTCAAGCTGTGTATTCTAGTGCCAGTTTTAAAACAATGTTAAATAAAAAGTTGTTTGTATACCACTATAGCATATTCATAAATAAAAATTACTGAACTGGGCTTTAGGAAATGAGAGAATGTATCCTCAGTATCTTATGAGCCCCAGGCATTCCAGTGGAATTGCATTGTATAATTGTCATAGGATATTGTTCTAGGTCCACTTTTAGTATTAGTCTATTTAAAGAATAGTAATTGTAAGTTAGAAGAAAAAAATATCACCAAATACTAAAGCATTCCCTTTATTTTCTTCAATTCATGGGAGACGTTTCAAGATCTAGTGATACTAGTTAAAAGCATTTGTTGAAGCTAGGAGTGAGGTGATAATGAGCTAGAGATGCCCAGAGAAAGGGCTGGAGAGATGGTTAAGAGCACTGGGTGTTCTTCTAGAGGTTCTGAGTTCAATTCCCAGCAACCACATGGGTTACAACCATTTATAATAGGATCTGATCCCCCGTTTTGTCATTCAGGCAAACATACAGAGGACTTATCTAAATATCTAAGTATGTGTGTGTGTAAATAAATAAAAAAATTTAAAAAAGAGAATGAGAAGTGCCCAGACAGCCATTAGTGCTAATACAACAGAACAGCAAGCACTTTGGAAATTATTTATCAACCTTAATGCCATGTATGCCCATCAGATGGCTGAAACTTGATTTCTCCCAGGAACTGATTATGGGGAATGGGTTTTAATGTACCACTTTTTAATGAAGCTGTTCCCATTTCAATTAAAGGCAACTTTGCATATGCACACTGGCATGCAAGGCTCAATTGTAGCCCTTCATTTTCAGTAGAATTTGTGTGTTCTTTGTTTACAACACAGGCATAAACGGAAAACCTGAAATGCTTATTAAGTCCTGTAGTCCATAATGGCCCTTCAGCCTTTTAAAATCTATTTCTTTTGCATGTAGTTGAGAAGTTACTTGGGTAGTTTTTTGTCTACATCATAGCAGTAAGTTTAACTTGGTGTGATACAAAAAATTCTGTTCAGTATGAGAGAAACTTGTTGCAGGCAAAAAGGTATTTTCTGATTCAAGTAATTGTATAATCTCACAAACAAGTATTTATTGTAATAATATTATTACTATTATTACAGACAGGGTCTCTGTGCAGTCACTGTATGTAGATCTGGTTGGTTTTGAACTCTTGAAGATCTGCCCGCCTCTGCCTCCTGAGTTCTGGGATTAAAAGTGTGCAGTCTGACCTTTGGCCATTATAGCACTATTAATGAGAATGCTGAGCCACCTCAGTATCCATTGATAGTGTCTTAGTTAAATATGGGCTTAATGTGGAGAGCAGCTACATGATCTAAGCTGGGAACTGACCCTGTGTTCCAGTGTCCTGGTCTGCAAAGCAGGACAGCAGCATACACGCAGCTCTGAGTTGATCGCTTCACAAACAGGGGTGCTCAAAATGGAGCCCACACACAGGGCACTTGTTATTCCAGGTGCCTTTTCTTCTTCCTGAACCTCTGCTAGGTCTGGAACCAACACACAAGCTTATGGGAAAAAATACCAGCAAGAGGAAGTGTTGCCTGACTTTTTGCTGATAAAATAATGAACAACTGAAGTGCATTTTGGTGTGAGGACTTCACATCTAGCAAGTGTTGGAGTCAGGTGCTCTTGCTCTCTGTGTCCTCAGCTAGGGCTAGAGAGGTAGAACCATCACAGAGCGTTAGGGTGCATAGTTTCTCCTTGATAAGGTGGTATAGTTTTTATTTACACTGTTTTTAAGAAATTGTAGTGCTATTTACAGGGGAGAACGACAAGCACCTTTTCTTAACCAACAGCAGTCATTTACTTCCTCAGGTTGAGGATATGCCATCAAGTAGTTTGGAGCATCCTGCATCCTCAGCAAGGCCTTAAAAGTGACAGAATAAACACAAGGCAGCACTTCTTTTCTGATGGGTGTCCTATAATAGTGAAGCCATCATCGTGTCCCATATACAGTCATACATGAGATCTATGTGCACAGTGCTAATGTTTTAAGAATTATGAGCTGTTTCCCATATGGTGTTTCTTTAGAAATGGAGCATCAACTGTTGTCACAGCAATATTCGGAGGAATTCTCCAGAACGAGGTCAACTGTCTCATATGTGGAACAGAGTCAAGGAAGTTTGATCCATTCCTAGGTAAGGGGTACTGGCCAGGCTATGTGCTGCCATGGTTTTTTCTTTTCTTTATTTTCTAAGTGCTTTTAACAGCTCTGGTTCTCTCCTTTTAAGATCTCTCCTTAGATATTCCAAGTCAGTTCAGAAGCAAGCGATCTAAGAACCAGGAAAGTGGGCCTGTTTGCTCATTACGAGGTAAGGGTATTTTCTTGTTGCTTTTGTTAGAGCTCACAGTCTATGCAGTTTCTTACTATATGTGCTTCACACTGTGTTGTATTCACTCCCAGATCCTATAGTAAGAACACCTCATGATATGTCAATTAAGTGTTAAAAATACTTAGGTTTCTCCTGTATTTATTTTTTTGTTTTTGTTTTTCAAGTCAGGGTCTTTCTGTGTAGCCCAGCAGGTTCTTGAACTCACAGGGATCCTCCTTCCTCTGCCTCCCGAGTGCTGAGATTAAAGGTGTGCATCACCACACCCAGGCAAATCCTGTTGCCGAATGCAACACATATCTACAAAGGAAAGACTACTAACAGGAGTTTTACTAGTTACAACAATAGTTTCAGAAATCAAGTGATGTAATATCTAGGTATGTCCTAAGGCTGGCTTTTAATGGCAAGACCATTATGGTGGCACATGCCTTTATTTCCCAGAGGTAGGTGGATCTCTGTGAATTCAAGGCCAGTTTGGTCTACAGAGCTAGTTCTAGGACAGGCTCCAAAGCTACACAGAGAAACTCTGTTTCAAAAAACAAGGCAAACACAAAATTGTCATATGGGAGACTTTTGAACTCATTTTTTTCTTAATAAGTATTATATAATAACTACTAAGTATTACATAAGGCCTGATTGATAATTTGTGGAGAAAAGGTCCAGATGGCCGTCTGGAGTGTCTTGTCTGCAACTGTGCATACAAGAAAAATGCAGCTCTGGAACTGTCTATGTAGGCCAGGCTGGCCTTGAACTCAGAGATCACACCTTAGCCTCCCAAGTGCTGGGATTCAAGGTGTGTGTTCCCACACTCAATAGAAAAAGTATATTTTGAGGGGGCAGGAAAACTCTAGAAAGCAGCATTTAGTCAGAAAGGCATCAGAATCTAGGACAAAGCAAACTACAGCAATCCTTGCCAGTGGCCCTTCCCTCCACTGCAGGGGAAGGGTAGGCAATAAAATGCCAGCAGCCCCATCTGCAGCAGACAGGTGGCCTAACCACAGGACCCCACAGTCCTCCAGTCTGAGATCCTTTGTGGGAGGAGCTGCCCCAAGAGCAACTCATTGCCACTCTCAACCCAGGCTATTCACCACTGCTAGACCACCATCCCACCTTAGAGGATAGACTGTACCTCAGAGAATAGGAGGCAGCTCCCCTGAGTCCCATTCATCCCTGCCGGTGTCCAGATCCTAGTGTTACTGCTGTCTCCCAGGAAAGAAAACTGAAGAAGTTCCAATCTAGAAACACTGTCACGAGAACCTGGCATCAATTGGATTTACCTTGTAGGAACCAGATAGCCTACAGCTTTAGGACCACAGCTACAGAAAACTCCAGTGTCACCCACAGCTGCCTCTCAGATCAGAACAGTAGTCATCCATGTCCCAGAGTTCCAGAACTGCAGACAAAGCCACACGCTCTGGTATTTCCCTTATTTGACCTGCATACACCTTGGGTGAACACTGAACAAGAAAGTGTGTGAGGCTTACAGGGCACTATGAAGCGAAGGAGTGTTTGTTAAAACCCTGGATATAACAAGTAAAGGTGAAAGGCGGTGAGAACTTTCAAAGCTGCAGAGACACACTAGAAGCTCAGAACAGCCAAGTTCAATAGAAAAAAACATCACCAAAGGTGTGTTATAGTGAGCATGTTAGAAGTACAAAGTAATTCTGAAGACAGCAAGAGAAAAATAACTTGGAGAATACACATTAGCTTGGTTCACTATTATTATTATTTATTTTATTATTATATAGTAGCTCTCAAAGCAGAAACCTAATAGGCCAAAATATAGCTAGATTATGTATTTCAACAACAGCATGTATCTATATAATAGAAAGCACATGAATGTACTGAACTCATATTTGCATGACAGAAAACTACCAAATTAAAACTACCAAATTAAAAAGAGAAAGATGAAACAAAAAATACAGAAAAACATCAATGACTGAAGGAAATTTACCTATCAGTAGTAATCTTAGATGTAAATGGGTTACGTTAGCCCAGAGGCGACATACAAAGTAGATTTAAAATCTAATACACTCACACAACGGTTTTAAGAACAGCAATAGGTTTGAACAGTTATAATGTTCATTCTGGAGCCATGGAGCTTCATTCAGGGTTAAACTCCCACTGTCCACTATATTACTCATTATTTTAAAAAAATGGCTCTTAGTACTTGGTTGAATTAATGTATCTACTATGAAAGAAACAGAACCAGTCCTCCTGCATCATGGTTAGGAGGGGGCTTTGTAACCTCTTTATGACTAATATATCCTATTGCCTACTTGGCAGTGTTCTAACTTTCCTGCCTATATGAAATATACTTACTGGTAAAGGGTTGGAAAAAGACAAAAGTCCTTATATATACTAGGGAATGGATCAACTCAGAAGATTTAACAGTTAGATATACCTCACATGCAACCACCAAATACATAAAACAAATACTAGTATTTCTAAAGGGAGAATATATTCCACTATACTAATACCTGGGGATTTCAATATTTCACCTTCCTCATTGGACAGAATGACAGAAAATCTAGTTGAGCCATACTCTAAAGCAAGTGGGAATTTATTTATTTATCGCAGCTGCAGAGTACACATTCTTTTTATTACATGTTGCATTCTCTAGGAAAGGCACTGGCTCATGCTTATAATCCCAGCACTAGGGAAGCCAGGAAAACTCCACATTTGAGGTCAGCCTGGGCTGTGTGGCAGCCTGCCTTGAAACAAAGAAGTCACAACAGAGTAAAACTGTAAATCAAGAAAGGAGAATATACAAGGGAAACAGATCCCTCTTAAAGACCATGCAGATAGAAATAAAACATCTAGCAACAAATGAAAATGACAACACATCAGAAGTAATATTGAGAGAGGCTATGCAACAAATCAATACATAAAAGTAGACAGACTAAAGGTCATATCAGAAATGTAAACCGTAAAGAAAGTCTAAAAGATTTCTAAATAAACTAAGCAAGGAAGTGAAGACCCAAATAAAACCATAGAGAGGATGGATACCATGAAAATACAAAGAAGAAATTATGAATCATTCTTCGATATTCTGAAAAACTATACAGACATGGACAAATTCCTGAATACACACAACCTACCAAGATTTAGCCAAGAAACAGTGTAAACAGATGAGCAATAGGTTTGAAACAGTAATTGAAGGCCCACACCTTCCTTCCTCAATTGTCCCATCTGTAGACACCACTGCACTGGCTGGGTGAGACCATTTACAGGGGAATGTGTAGAACCAGAGGATGTCATGTTAAGTGAAAAAGCTAGACACAGATTTATGGATCACATGTTCCTGCTCACACTTGAAAATGAACACACAGCAACTTGAAAGCACAAGCAATATATAAGTAAAAGACTGAGGAGTTCAGGGAGGAGAGAAGTGTAGAAGGGCATGATGTGTATCTACCAGAGTGAACCACTAATCTATACAATTAGTATGTGTTAGCTACAACAAATTGAGATGGAAGGAATCCTGTTCACCTCTTTTTGTAAGGCATCACACAGTATCTTTCCTGTGGTAATTTAAAGGATCTGGCATACCAAAGTTTCTGTAAAACAGAAAATAAAATATAAAAAAAACCACACCATACCCAAGTAAGTCATCCTAGGGATGCAAGGATGGTTCAACATACTCAAACCAATAAATGTGATAACAGAATAACAAAATGAAGGACAAAATCCCTGTGGTTATCACAATATATGTAGAAAAAGTATTTGATAAATTCTCAACATATTAGAAATAGTCCTAATACCACAGGCTGTACAATAATGCAAAAGAATATGAGTGACGTACAATGACAAGTGAAAGAACTTAGAAATTAATTCATGTTGATACAGCAACTACTTTTTGACAAAGATACAAAAAACATACTGAAGATAGAGGACAGACAGCCTTTTTTGATAATGGCAAAATTGTATCCACATAAACAGAAGATACAGAATAATGGAGTTAAAGTCTTCTTATGATTACCTCCCTCTTTTAAACCACTTTCATCTGTTAGATGCACTTTCTGGACAGCTAGAACCTGTTGGATTTTATTTAATATGTAAAAATGGAAATGCATGATTATCTGTAAGTCTTCTCCATGTGTCAGGTCTACTGTAGAGCTGGACCTAGACATTTTCCTAGGTTGTCCTATTTGAGTATATTACTAGAGATTCTAATCAAGCCCTCTCCTTTCAAATGAATTTGTACGTTATGCCCTGGAGTCGTCTGTTAGTGAAGTCCTGCTCTTAAGTTACCAGTCCTCTTCTCTTACCATATTGTCCCAACACAAAGAAAGTTCAAACATTTAAATTGTGTTACATTTGTGTATGCATGGAGGTCAGAGGACAACTTGGAGGAGTCTGTTCCTCCTTCTATGGTGTGGGTCCTTGCGATCACACTTAGGCTGTCAGACTTGGCAACATATGCCTTTACCTACTGAAACCCTTCATTGGCTCTTGATCGTAAGACTTATCCTTAATGGCACTCATCTTTTTAACAACATAGTCTCTTTGTTCAAACCACTTCATTCATAGTTTCAAATCTTTTTATATACCCCCCTCACAAAATTGCATGTGTTATTAATGTTTTCCCTCCCTCTGTGTAAATCTGGACAAAACAGTGAGCCATAGCTATGCTACAACCTATACACTGTTTTAAATTTCTTCCACCAAATAAATCAGTCCACAACATAATTCAGCTTCACTCAGGGTAGCAGGACACAGGCAGATGTTACAGCCTGAATGTCTATTTTCAGTAGAATACTTGAACCCTCATAAGCATTTTTGCTGGTGTGATCTTATACACTCCTGCTAGTATGGCCATTATGCTGCTGACAGAACTCTAGGACTTCTCTACCTTGCTGCTCCCATCTTGTTCAAAAGGCACAAATCAAGTCAGATTTTACCACAACAAAGACATTTCTTGGTAACCCTTTTTTTTTTTCTGTGTTAACTTTTCTCATTGCTGTTGTAGTAGCACAGAGAAGGGTTATGTTGACTGATGGCTTAAGAGGTTACAGTCCAGTCCATCCTGGTGGAAGGCATAGAAGCAGTGGTAGCTTGTAGTGGACTAGGAAGTTCAGAGCTCAAGACAGATCCTGCAAGGCCCATTCCCAGTATCCCACCTCCTCCAGCCAGTTTGCACAGCCTGCCTAAACAATGCTGTGGTCAATTGGGGGCCAGGTGTTCAAATTATGGTCTCATAGTGGAACATTTTACATTTAAACCATTGACACGCTAGGAATCCTGCTACTTAAAGTGTTCACTTAGCCTCTTCTAGGGGAGGAAACCAGCAAGCAAATTATAAACAAACCACAGAAGGGGAAAGAGCAAACTGTCAATGGCAACATTTGCAGATGAATTGATTACATACCTAAAACTTTCTAAGTGCTCTCACACTCTCTCAATCCCACATACAGAACCAGATATTTTACACATGTTAAATATGCACTTGGCCACTGAGCTACATCCTTCAGTACTGAGGATTGAACCTAGAGTCTCAGGCACGCTACACAAGCTTCTCTACCACTGAGCTACATCTCCAGCCTACTCATCCTTCAGTTAAAAAAAAAAAATACACAAGCAGTGCTTTGATAAATGAATCAGTACACTGATAGAAAAGCTTAGTGAAATGATAACAAAGAAAAAAGAGGAAAAATCTGGAGAGATGGCTGCTTTTCCAGAGGACCTAGATTCAATCCCTTGAACCTACATGGTAGCTCACAACCATAGGCCATCTATACCCTCTTCTGGCTTCTTGGGGTACTGCAAAAACATGGTACACATACACGAAGACAAATATCTAAACACACAAACAAAATAGAGGAAAAATTCATTTTGAACACAGCAAGACTCCCTATCATAGTAGCAGCAAAAACTCAAAAGTATTCAGCAATAAGCAGACATATACAAGACCACTGGGTGTGGCAAAGAACCCTGATAATCCCATCACTTGTAGCCAGAGCAGGAGGATTTTGAGTTTGAGGATAGCCTGGGCTATATATAAGGAACATATGAACTAGAAGAAGAAATAAAAGCCTCAACCATGCTATTCTTGTGAAGATCCAGTATGGTAACAGCACCGTTTTCTTCAAGTTTCTCTGTAGGTAGACATTCCTAAAGACATCAAGTAGAGGCAAGATAGAAATAGGTAGGAATGTCCTAATGGAACTAAAACAGCAGCTGATACAAAAGATAGAAATGAGTAGGCATGCTAAAACAAACATGCATGCGGGACCAAATCAGACAGACAGTGCCAAGTTTCCAGAAGCATCATTGTCCTGAAGCACAGCCCTGGCTTTGGCCATGCTAGAGCAGTTTCTTCACACCCAGGGCTACGATTCCCACAGGACAGATGAGGAGACAATTTTATCGTCAGGCAGCAGGGTAGGAGGTGGTTCTTGAGAACATCTGCCTGCATTTGTCTTGCTGAATGCTCTCTAAGAGTAAAGTGGTGCTTGTTGCCAGAAATTAGTAACAAAAATTGGCCTAGATTTAACCCCCCAGTGGCCTCCAATATATTAGGGTTGAACATTTTTTGTTACATGAATGCAAAGCTAACAGTCACAGAATATTGTAAAAATTGTGTATGAGACACTGTGTGTGTGTGTGTGTGTGTGTGTGTGTGTGTAGAATGATGAAATTTATGTAAGATAAAAAAATGTATGGTCCTTCATGTAATCATGTTTGGGACTAGAGGTTGAACCCAGGCACTTGTACATAGCTAGGCAAGCACACCACCAAGCTCTGAAGATCTTTTGGTGTCTTATTTTGGAACATTACCACAGTGAGTGAGCCCAGTCAGGCCTTGAACATCTGATCCTCTTGCCTTAGTCTCCTAAGCAGCCAGGTTAGAGCCTGCATCATTAGGTATGGTTCCTGTGCATTAAAATTCCTAAGTATTTCCAACAGCGTGAATCAAGAAGGAATGGAACCGCAATCCTCCCCCCACTTTTAAACATATTTACATAATTTTTAAGGGTAATAAAAAATGTACCCCTGTATACTTTTCAACTCCTGGTTTGCTAAATTAACTTTGCAGACTATGTAAAAGGTGACATAATGACTAAAACAAACCGGTTTTACCTCCTTCTTTCCATGGAGGTGCTGCTTGAACAGTTTCATACGGAAAACTGCCAGTTTTGAAACATATAGACCTTTAATGTGAGAATCCAGAATTTCAAAAAGTGGTATAGGTTTCCCCCTAGAAATGTAATAAAATATTATCAGCATCTTCCTCAGCCTTACCGATAGGTGAGCAGACATCAGTCGATGGATGCTTGTTGGACATGCACTTTGCTTTATATGCGGGCTTCTATATAACAACACACCAGTATGTGTCAGGCCCACTCAATGATAGCATTTACTTCTGTGGACATTAAAGATATGATGCCTTTGGGTATGCAGTCTCTTGAAGAAACTATCTCTGTATTTCTATCTTTCAAAAAAAAAAAAAAAAGCATGCTCTGAGCTGGCATGGTGCTTCAGCTGACAAAGCACATGGCTGTAAAGTGCTTGCTTTGCAGGCAGGACCCTGAAACCCATGTGAAAGTGCCAGACATGCTTTCGCTCTCAGCACTGGGGAGGAAGACAAACCAGGTCCCTAGAACCTGGTGAGCTCAGGCCAGAGAGTGAACCTTTCTCAAAGGAGGTGGATGGCATCTCAGGTGGTACTCCTGCCTCTGTGTACACAAGGGCGTGCATGCACAGGCTCACACTTTTTTCTTTTTTTAAGATACAGCTAAGTCTAGAGTTTGGGGGGGAAACTTGACTAACAATGGTAAATCAGGGTGGTAGGCTAAAGTATGTTTGTCCTTTTGGGGTTTTGTCCTTCTTTAAAGATTTGGGTATTACATGGCTATCCATGTGTAGCAGTATTGCTTGCCCCAAACTCCATCCTTCCTGCCTTTGCTCTTTGTCAAGTATGGACTACTCTGGGGCTTTTCCTGGCCTCTCTATCCTGCTGAGTCTTTCTTTGGCCACTTCCATTTTGTTGACTAATTTTACAGGGGTTCTGGGCAGTTGGATGGGGTCAGCTCTTTGTTGGCTGATGGGCTGGATGCTGAGCTATCAATGCAGTTACTCACAAAATCCCTTGCTGGAATCTGCCGAAATTGTATTGATTCTGAGGTTTTGGAGGAAGTGACATCCTGCCAAAGCTTTCTTTCTACCCATGTGCTTTAACTTCTTAATTAGTCTCAAAGGATGCTCTACATATAAAACCATCCTATTTGCACATTTTAACTTTTCCTGCCTCATACCTATGTCTGAAACTCTCAGGGCCCTGCTGAACAGATGTGGAAAACATGGGAGTCCTTGTTTTCTTTCCTTATTTTTACTGGATTTCACCTTGAAGTTTTTCATATTTGGCTTTTATCACATTAAGTTCTCTCCTAGTCTGAATATTACAGTTATTCTGAATAAGGGAAGCTGCTTTCCTATCCTCATTTCACTTTCTTTCTCCCATATATGACCAGAGCCCTGCCACAGCCAAGGTTGGCTTCAAAACTCAAGAGTACCATAGTGACCAGCCTAAAGGGAGTATAGTGCCCACCAATCTGCATTGTAGCCAGTGATCTCTATAGTAACAGAGACACGGTGCTTGGGAGGCCCCTGAGGATACAGCATCCTGTATTGAAACCAGGGTCATTGTGCTGCAAGTTAGTCTTTCCCACAGTGCACTGCCTTTGTTAAAGCCAATTCATTTTAATGCTGTCAAAAACATTCTTATTGCAGATTGTCTCCGAAGCTTCACTGACCTAGAGGAACTTGACGAGACAGAGTTGTATATGTGCCATAAATGCAAAAAGAAACAAAAGTCCACAAAGAAGTTTTGGATTCAAAAACTTCCCAAGGTCAGTGAGTTTCAGTTAGGGTGTATTCTCATGGAGAAGATGTGTGAGGAAAGTTAGATTATTAGCTGAGAACTCTGTGAAGTTCTGGGCAGGTCTCTAAGGTTTGCAGTTGGAGCTGAAACCTGGTAGTTTATAAGGTACACAAACAGAGAGCAGTCTCAGGGTCAGAAGAAAAACTGGGCAACTGATACGTGGACCCGACAGAGATGGGTAACATTGGAAGGCGAGTTGGCCCAGGCTTTGTCCTCATCTGTCACCAGGTGCTGTGCTTGCACTTGAAAAGGTTTCACTGGACAGCGTATTTAAGAAACAAAGTTGATACATATGTAGAATTCCCACTGAGAGGCCTGGACATGAAGTGCTACCTACTAGAGGTAAGGAGCTGGGAGAGGAAGTCTTCATAGAGAAGCAGGCACTGGGCTGGCTGTCCTTGATAACTGCTCCCCTCTCCTTTGTAGCCAGAGAACAGTGGCCCAGAGAGCTGCCTGTATGACCTTGCTGCGGTGGTGGTGCACCATGGTTCTGGGTAAGTTGTCAGCTTCTTGGAGTTGGGAGTACTTGGTAGTCACACAAGATGGCCTGTAATTTCTAGTCATGCCCTAAATGTGGGTACTCTGTGAATTCTGGTGAGAAGGTGCTGTGAAGCATGGAGGCTGTATGAAAGCAGAATGGTGTAGTCCATCCTTCATACCACTACAAACTGGCTTTTACCAGTTCAAATTATAAGTGGGAATGTTTGTAATAACTTACCCACATCATCACTTTTAGTTTTTTACATTCTTTTTTTTTTTTTTTTTTTTCCTGGAAGCTTGGCTTGTACTTGGGGTTTACCTTTCTGATTTCTAGTCTGATAAAGAATAGTTATTTTACTTTCAAACTTGGACTGCTGAACCTGGGCAAGCTACCATCCATATCACAAGTCCTTTCCCTACGTGTAGACACTGCTCCACTTGTCATAGCAGTGACTCTGAGGCTGAGCCCCACTGCTTTTTATAAGCAGCCTGTTGCTTCTATGTTTGCGGACCTCTCTTAGACTGAGAAAATGAGGTGGATTCTGAATTCGTAGGTAACAGGGACACTTTTAAGTGTCTTTAGTAATGAAGTATTTTTGTATTCAACCTCACTTTTTTTTTCCTCTTGGAATCCATAAGATCCTTTCTGTCACTGAACTCTGTACTGCTAGTCCAGTCACGTTTTTGTACTCGTATTCCTGTCTTTTGGTTGCAGTGTCTCTCTGGCTTCAAAATGGGATTCCCCAGGGATGCCTCAAGTATCCTGTTTTGCACTTACCTCTAGCTGTATCTTTCCCCAGTATATGGGAAAGGAAGACTGCTAAGGCTGTAGCAGCTATGGCAGTCCTGACGACAGGGCAGAGCCCTTTGTGACCAAGTCAGGGGAGGCTTTCTTCAAGGCACGCTGATTTCTAAGCTGGGGTTTTGCCCCATATTTCTGACAAGCAACCTGGCATCAGTTTTACGTTTTCCAGAGGCTTCCATGTATATTCACGAAGGCTGTCTGCAGCTCCCTGTTTCTGCACTGCCTCGGTGTCATCTGCTGTGTGTTGTGGTCGGTTGGTGCATTGTTTCCCAGTGTCAATATATTTCTTGTCTGTGGGTTTAGAGGGCAGTAACACAAGAGTTCAACTAACCATCTCAAACTTTAATTACTGTACTTATTAATACCTTTAACACTGCATAGCTGCCAACATCCTTTTGTGACTCCTATAGTCTTTTATCATCATTGAGACGGTCGAAATGTGTAACCCTAGAAGTAGCTATGTAGACCAGGTTGGCCTCAAACTCAGATCCACCTGCCTTTGTCTCCCAAGTGCTGGGATTAAAGATGTGCACCACCAGCCAGACCTTTTATTTACTCACTTCTGTAGTCTTTATCTTTTGCCCTTTCTTTGCAGGGTCGGTTCTGGACATTACACGGCATATGCAACTCATGAAGGCCGCTGGTTCCACTTCAATGATAGTACTGTAACAGTGACCGATGAAGAGACCGTTGGGAAGGCAAAGGCCTACATTCTATTCTATGTGGAGCGTCAGGCAAGAGTTGGATCAGATAAACTTTAATACCTCCTCTGATCACAATTCATCAACTACACCGGACAAACATTTCCAATTTTCCATAAATACTTGATCCAAGCGTTTAATTTTGTTATGCACTTTTCAATTTCCAGTTTGGGGTTTAGTTTGGTCAATGGTAGTGACTTACTCAATATGGGCACCAACTATTTTTTGTTGTTGTTCTACCAGAAAACCTCAGCAGGCATCTTGATTGGCTGCTTTAGTTGTAATAACTCAAGTTTTATATGTAGTTTCCAGGACTTAGTTCTGTTTTGACTTTTTATATTAATGTTTTCAGTTCTCACCAAGGCACATGTGCTCTGTACTCACATGCTGAGAGCCACCCTACCTGCTGCCTTTCACAGTGGCCAGGTCAGCGGCCACCATGAGGATCATGTGCGCAGGACCTGTGGCCCAGGTCTCACAGTGACTTCTCAGGAACGCCTTCTGACTGTAGGCGGTAGCTGAAGGTCAGTAGACCAGGCCGTTGCCACTGCCTGCGTCTCCCGGCTGTTGTTTCACAGCGTTAAATAAATCTGTCAGTTCTGTTCATCTCTGCTGAAGTTCCAGAATATTTCTTCTTTCTGTTCTACCGTTAGGAACACTCAGAGTGTGTTTACAAAAAGCTCTGTGTCTCCGCTGCCTGGTAGAGGTACATCCCATCCCATCAGGCCCATCAGAGGTGAGGTATTAGCCTCCAGAGTTGAGTCACCTGACTGACTTCAGGTGTTAACATGACACCCCTTCCAGACAGCAGTGGTGTCATCTTTAGTCTGGTTTTTTTAACTCACTCCCTGCCTGAGAGCAGAGTCAGGTGAAAGTATTTTTGTCTCTGAACAAGAATAGTTTCTACTCTTGAATTCAGTAGCTTTAAAAAAAAAAAAAATACTGTTCACAAAAATAGGTAGAAGCACGATTTGGATTCAACCTAAATGGAAATTTGAAATCTGGTCTATTTAAAGGTGTCAGCTAATGGCAAGTGTTGGAGGGCAGTGATTGAGGGTGGAGGTAATGCAACCTGCAGGTCAGAGTATAAAACTCCAACATGGCCTTTGTTCCATGTTCACTTCCGAAAGGGACAAAATGCACTTCATGCATATTTTTTAGCAATCTTATTTTTTCTATTTAAAGAAAAGTTTGGTAGCTTTCCTTGGTTAGTGTGAGGCTGATGGAGCAGACATGGCCTAATTCCACTTTATATCAACTGCATTCCCTCAGAGCAGAAATCATACATCAGTACTTCAATAAAAACCTAATTGGAAACTATCAGGACAGTGGCCACGTGGGTAAATTGAAAACACATTCTTCAATCACAGTAGTCATTTTCCCAGTGTTTAAGTGGGAAGACATTGAGTTATGTGGTAGTCATATGCAGTTCTGTTATTATGGTTTGATCCACAGACTGAGGGTCACATGACCTCCTCTAATATATTATAACTTAACACAGCTAAGCCTGAATGAATGTGAGTCTCATCTGACCGTGCAAGCTCCTGCAAATCTAGGCTCTTAGGAGATTCTAGACTCTAACAGTGGCATCTGTGTACTGGCCTCTCAATGGGCAACTTTAATGACTTATAAGACTCAGATGGAGCTGATGTTGTCACACCAAGTGGGTGTCACACCAAGCAGCAGATTGGGGAGAGTGATCGGTAGGACAGGCAACACTGTTGGCATGCAAGGGTAATGCATCATCTCTGGGAATTTTTGTTGCTTGATTTTACTTAAGCAACAATGAATGATGCCATGAAGACGCTGAGAAAGTGTCTGCTTCCATTTGCGGTCTGCATCTCAACATTCGTGATGTAAATGTGCCTATTTGGATTTTAAATCTTTGTAGCCTTATTGCACCTGTTGCAAGCTCATCTTTCTGTGCTGTTTAAGGCTTTCCCATGTTGTGCATTCTAGCATGCATGCGGCTTTTTGTTCAGAGCTTGTGCTGAGGCAGGGCCTCCTGCGTACCCTGTTCCATCAGCCCCTGGGAACAGGAAACTCCAAGTCCTCCCACACCTGTGGGGATACAAAGTTTGTGGCAACACAAGTCTCTCTCCGTGGTGGAGAAACCTATGCTTATCCACTGTATTCTACTCAGTGTGTAGTGATAACAAACAGATGATGCAATTAAACCAGTCACATGTGCTGGCCCTGGTTGAGTGTAATGTGTCTCACCTGTGGAACCTACTTAAGAGTTTTTTCCTAAAGCCCAACTTTCCCTTTGGTTTAATGTACACATGTCACCCATTATAACCTCCTTAGTCCCCTAAAGTCTCATGTCCCCTCCTGCTGCTGAAGTTACTTCTTGCTTAAGCTCAGGAAAGGCTCAGGTAAGAAGTGTCTCCACAGCCAGACCACCCCCTGTGGCTGGGGGCAGCCCTGAGAAAATGCCACAACACAGGAAGAAGGGGATACATGTGTCTGTGACTGTCACCACTGGGCAGTAGCCCCTAGGTGAATGGCTATGCTAAGATCATTTGCCATTAAGACTTATAGTCCATATGATGTCGAGGGGACATCATCACGCTCATGACCCCTGTTTCTGGCTGTAATCACATCCTAGTCCCACCTCAGAAGCTGGACTGTTAGGTGGAAAGAGGCATTAAAGGTCTCTCCTCTTTCCTGTTACTCCTGGATTGCTTCCAGTAGAACTAAGACATGGCAGAGCCAGCAGGCAGCAGGGGTGGCCCTGTAGCCTACATGGGCAGGAGGGGTAGGTGGCCTCCAGGGGATGCTGCTGCTGTCTTATGGTTTCTCACTGTGTTGTATTAAGAGCAAGCAACTTCGTTAGTTCCAGCAGTGCCTGTCCTCAACTGTGCTGCAACACTACACACCACTCCAAAAAAGCAGGGCATTGGAGAAGTGCATGCATCTAAGCCCACCAAACTTCCGGTTTACTGCAAGTCATTTACACTTCAAGTGTTCAGAAATAGAAAGTGAAAAAGAGCTGCCTTTGCCTATCCTCACATTTTGGGAAATACTATCTGGAACAGATAATGAAACCATGCAAAATTTCACACACACACCTGCTGTGTGCAAGTACAAAACACTTAAGCTGAATCTTTTATGAAACACTTAAGGGTAAAAATAAACCATTGTGGCCAAGGAAATCCTTTGCCCAGTACGGGTGTGGGGATCTGAAGATAGCTCAGCCTCACCTGCAAGACATCAGTCTCCTGAGCTAAAGTAACAGAAAAGCATGACCCTTGATTTCACTCACAGCTGGTATGACTTCTCCCTTAGCTTGGTGCATAGGACTGGCCTCTTCCTGGCAAGGGTTAGCATTGGAGCCACACAGACACACCCGAGATCTAAGCTAACATTCACCACCACTCTGCCAGCGAGAAAAACTGAAAGCACTGTAAGCACGAAAGGGCTGTTGTGGCCAATCACCAACAACAATACCTTCAAAAGCCAAGTGCCTGTGATCACTACTGTCAGCTCGGGGTGGGGGTGAGGGTAGGGGTGGACCTTTTAAGGAAACTTTAACTTCAGTGAGCTGCTCTTCTGCCAGGATTTTCAGGCCCAATCACAGATGGCTGCAAGTCAGTCTGGATCCTGACACCCGCCCTCCCCACCCCCCCCAGCTTCAGCACCAGTTGTTGGCCAAAAATAAACACCATTCTTCAACCATATATGTCCACCAGTCCTGATCTGGGGAGAGGAAGCAGGAGGCAGGTCAGACCCTTGCTGGGCACACTCACGTGAGGCAGCCACTCACCATGCACATAACCCAGCTCAATCGGGAGTGCCTGCTGTGCCTCTTCTCATTCCTGGACAAGGACAGCAGGAAGAGCCTCTCCAGGACCTGCTCCCAGCTCCGAGATGTGTTTGAAGACCCTACCCTCTGGCCCCTGCTGCATTTCCGTTCCCTCACAGAGCTCAAGAAGGACAACTTCCGGTTGGGCCCTGCCCTGCGCAGCTTGTCCATCTGCTGGCATTCCAGCCGTGTGCAGGTGTGCAGCATCGAGGACTGGCTCAAGAGTGCCTTCCAGAGGAGCATCTGCAGCCAGCATGAGAGCCTGGTTAATGATTTCCTCCTGCAGGTGTGCAACAGGTAGGCCACCTCGCCCCTGAGCAGTGTGGCCCTGCTGGCCTTGGCTCTGGGGGGGGGGGGGACACGGAAGCACACGTTCCAGGAGTAATGTGGCTAAGACTCAGTCTAAGACATACAATCGGTGCTCCTGAAGCTGCTTCTGTGGCAAAGGAGCAGAGGTTCAGCTGGCCCTGTTCATGGAGCAGCTGTTTTCAGTGGCAGCCATGAAGGGTTTGTTGGGTTCAGCTGAGCCTGGATTTTCAAGGTCAGGCCCTAGGAAAAGACTCTCGAGGCACCAGTGGGTCCAGGCCTCTGATTTCAGCCCCCAAGGGCTGAAAATTGCTCATGAAGTTCAGGTGAGCTGGGCCTACTGCAGAGTAGCCATGAGTGTCTCTGAGAACACTCATCTTGCATAGTACCCAGGGGGAGTGTTTCAATTGTCAAGAGGGGCAAGAAGGTGCTCTAAGAGATAAGTATGGTGTAGCCAGTATGGGCCCACAGGCTTTTAGCAAATAACATATTAACTCAGTTAAATTAGAGTTTTAGATAAAGCAAGCCCTGTAAATACCCTCTATTTGATCTTTTGAACCCCATCCCTTACACGGACTGAGTCAGGGCAGCAATTGAAGAGAAAGAGCTCCATGCCAGCTAACAAGCTTGGATGGTTGCCAGCTGCTGCCACACAAGGTTAATAGCCACTGTTGGCTGGCTTCAGCACAGGAACAGGAAATAATTACAGTGGCCTGCCATTTTACTTGCTCTCTTTTCCCCCAAGTTGGATTTGGGCTTGGCTCTGAATAGACCAGGCCAGGCCATTTTGATAGCTTTCGCTACGCTCAGAAAACCAGACTGCAAAGTGATGCGTGGAACGGGGAGTGTCTAATACCAAACTGGTTCATTCTTGCTGGAAGATAACCAGGGTTAATCCCCCAGACCAGCAAGATTTGACCAGAATACAGGATCTACCGAGCACTGGTCCCCCATGTCAGAGAAAAATGCCAAAGGAGTGGCGTTCCAGCTCTGAAACTGTACAACACAGGGTGGGGCGATGA